TGGTTGTTGTTTGTTGGTTGTTGTTTGTTGTTTGTTGTTTGTTGTTTGTTGTTTGTTGTTTGTTGTTGTTTGTTGTTATTGTTGTTGGTGGTGGTGCTGCTGCTGTTGTTGTTGTTGCTGTTGCTGTTGCTGCTGCTCTTATTGTCATTATTATTGTTGTTGGTGTTGTTGATGTTCTTCTTCTTCTTCTTGTTCTTCTTTTCCTCGCCTTTTTACAAGCAGTAGCAGTAGCATCAGCATCAGCCGTGGCATCAGCAGCAGCTTCAGCAGCAGCCAGAAGGTGTGTAACTAGTAGGTGGGCTTGTAGTAGGTCAAGTTGTTTTGGGGAAGGTGGAGGACTAGGAGCAGCATCAAGAGTGGCAGAGGTTGTGCTGGTGGTACTTCGAAGTCGTGGTGGTGGCAGTGGTGGCTATTGTCGTCGTCACAGTCGTAGCATCAATAGAAGGACCCATGTGGCACCATGTTGCTCACGCCTCTAGGAGTTATCAGGCACCAGAACTTTCCAGGCGACGACGTGGCTTTGGTCTTGCGCCACTGTGAAGTCAATCGGCACTGGCCTCGCATAGGGCATAAGACTACTAGCAGCCCACAGCGCAATCATTCAGCAGATTTGACAGGGTTGGGTGGCCTTTAAGCCTTTGGGTTCTTTGCACGCAGGTGCATGTGGAAGCATCTCCGGAGGATCGCGCGCTGGGGCGAGCATTAGGTGACTTTGCAGTCGTTGACGAGTCGACGAGGGATACAGTTACAGTAACCATGTACGATTGCAGATGAGAGTGCTGTGGCATTCGTTCGCCTTGCTGTAAAAGGACTACCGGGTTGACTACCGTGGCTTGCAGCTGCCGAATTTGCCATTCCCATGCTGTGTGCCTGCCAGATGCAGTTGTCTCATCTATGCTGGCTCAAGCTTTCGCAGTTTCAGGTTAATTAGTTTCACCAGAGAACGAGATCCGTGAATTTCTTTTGCTCGCAGACTATGGACTGCTCAGCTGCTGATCCTGAGGAAAAAAAAATCGGAAAATGACTGGCTTTTGGCCGCCTTGGACCGCAAGTTCGCAGAGCAGGAAAAGGCACTGCACCGCTTGCTGGATCAAGTCTTTCGCAGGGACTTGAACTGGGGGTCTGAGCGCAACAGCGAGGTGCTGCTGGAGAGGGAGCCAATGTGGGAGGTCCAGATGGAGGTCAAAGACTTGGTTGCTGTCCTTCCTTCACGGATTGTGGAAGCCAAAGTTTCTACGAAGGAGGATGTGCAGCCGAAGAGCAGCATGAAGTCTAACCGGCGCCACAAAAGTCTCATCGGGACGCAGGTGATGAAGGAGAAGTGGGAACCGGACCCGCCTCTTAAGCGCTTTGTGAAAGGGCCGCTAGACGGCTACATGGGTATGGTGGTGGTTGTGAACCTGATATTTATGATCATCATGACCCAGTGGACAGGATCTCAGGCTGACATCTTGCTAGGTATTTCTACGTCGAGCAGTTTGAATCTGACGGAGCACTTTTTCGAGATCTCGGAGTATGTTTTTTTCGTCCTGTTCGTCCTGGATGTATTGATTCGAGTCTGGGTGCTGCGTCGTGAATGGATTTATGACCAACGCGAAGGCTTCATGTACCTCAACGTTTTCGATGCCTGCGTGGTTGTTGTGAATGCATTTGAGTTGCTGGTTCTGCCTCTGTCCCGTTCTCAGGTGTCAAAGCATTTCTTCCCTGCGCAGATTGGCACAGCAGCTGGTTCATTGCTACTGTAGCGTGTGTATCATGAACGAGAGTAACCACTCTCATCCTCACAGCCTGTGCAAAGGTTGCTCCTTGGAAGTGACCAGGAGCAGCATGCTAACAGCATCCGCGTCATCAAGCTGCTGCGCATTGTCCGCACGCTGCGTATTGTCAAAACGGCCGCCCGGTACGAGAGCCCCCTATAATATAGCCTATAATATAGTGTCGTGGATGACACACTGGGCGACTGGTACCACCAAGCCGGCTGCTAATCCTACTACATAAAAATTATGGCACTACTACTAGTACTACTACTACTGCTACTGCTACTGCTACTACTACTACTACGACGACGACGACTGCTAGTACTACTACTCCTACTACTACTCCTACTACTACTACTACTACTACTACTGCTACTACTGACTACTACTACTACTACTGACTACTACTACTGACTACTACTACTGACTACTACTACTGACTACTACTACTG